AATAACATACTCCTGTAGGCGTACTTCAAACAGTGTTTGTACTGTCAGTAACACATTAGTATTGAAGCGTTCAAAAATTGGGTTGGTAAGATTTCCTAATGTTTATGAAAGAAGTATCTTATACTCACCAAGACTGAACATAACATTTACTTGATCATTTAAATACAGTAAAACCGTCAAATATGATAAATATGATTACTAAAATAACTGTTTTCCTATTGAATATATATATATACAGTATATATATATATTTTTTTTTTAATCCTGTCATGGCAAGCTGAATTTTCAGCAGCCGTTATTCCAGTCTTTGTCACATGATAGAACGAAATCATTCTAATATGCTTATTTGGTGCCCGGGAAATATTTTTTCCTATTATTATCAATGTTGAGAAAAGTTGTGCTGCTTAATATTATAGTGAAAACCATGATGCTTTGATGAATATAAAGTTCAAAATGTCAGCCTTTATTTGAAACATTAATACATTATACATCACCACAGTCACTTTTAATCAATTTAATGCGCCTGTGCTGAATAAAAGTAATATTTTCTTTTAAACAGTAGTGTATGTAGGCATACAATATTGAAAAGCAGTTATATTAGATACTATACACACATATTTCATTTTTTTATAGAATTTTTTTTTATACATAATAATTACACTACAATAAAATTAAAATGAAATTGCTAATAGGCCACAACTGCTGGTTCTTCTGAAGTTGGATGAGGACCTGCATGTGAAGTATCCCAGAATGCTTACCTTTGCCTCACAGCTGAAGGCAGGAAAAGGTCTAACCATTGTAGGATCAGTGATACACGGCAACTTCCTGGAATGCTATGGGGAAACACAAGCGTCAGAACAGGTGAGGAAGTTTCCTGATCTACGCACACTTTTAGCATCACCACAACTGTAACTGTGATCCTACATTACAGATGCAAATACAATGATGGTTAGTTTATACTTTATGAACTTGCAGCCATATTCAATATTTGTGGTTGCCACGAAATTAGGTCTACTGTCTTTGCAGCTCTATCAGCCTCTCTGGAGTGTGCTGAGAGATTTCACTAAATTAGGTTTCCATACCCTCTACCAGGCAATAAAGAGCATGATGGAGATTGAGCGGGTGAAGGGCTTCTGTCAAGTGGTGGTCGCCTCCAAAGTGCGAGAGGGGATCGCGCACCTCATCCAGTCCTGTGGTCTGGGAGGCATGAAACATAACACAGTCGTTATGGGTTGGCCATATGGCTGGAGACAGAGTGAAGACCCACGGGCTTGGAAAAGCTTTATTAGTAAGAACAAGAGTTTGGGAAAGGTTTATTTGAATTATGTGCACTTGTAATTGTTTGCACTGAAGCACAGTACTTAGAAAGGCTGACGTCAGTCTACTCCTCTTTCATATTCTCTCAATTGTAGATACAGTCCGGTGCACTACAGCTGCCCACCTTGCTCTGATGGTCCCAAAAAATGTATCATTCTATCCCAGCAATCATGAGCGCTTTTCTGATGGATATATTGATGTGTGGTGGATTGTCCATGATGGTGGAATGCTCATGCTGCTGCCTTTCCTTCTCAAACAACATAAGGTGAACAATTAATCATTGATACTTTTTAAAATACATGTAATTTAAATGTTAGAAAAAGACTTCATGGGAATCAATTAGAATGATCTAAATTAATAGATTTATTGTGTAATTTATGTTTTAGATACTTTCTGGCTATATTTGTTCTGACAATCAAAATATTTTTTAATAAAACATATTTTTTGGTTTCTTGCACTTCAGGTCTGGCGTAAATGTAAGATGCGTATCTTCACTGTGGCTCAAATGGACGATAACAGCATTCAGATGAAGAAGGATCTGGCAACCTTCCTGTACCAGCTCAGATTAGAAGCAGGGGTGGAAGTGGTTGAGATGGTATACAGAACACTTTAGCTTTGCTATTAATACTTCACATCCCACCCTATCACATGTATTTATGCCATTATAATTTCATGATGTCGAATGTTGTTATTTGCAGCATGACAGCGATATCTCAGCATATACGTATGAGCGGACACTGATGATGGAACAGAGGTCGCAGATGCTAAAACAAATGAGGCTGTCCAGTGCAGAGAGAGACAGAGAGGTACTGCGACATTCACTTATGTCTCTTTTGTACTAACACTGTAGCTACAGGATGTTCACAGTTTGTTTACCAGTTATACAGAAGTATATACACAAATATATTATGAAATGACAAACCTGTCACGCCCTTGGACTGTCTGTGTGTTTTCCTCTCTATGCGTTCCCAGTTACCTAGTTTCTCCCCTGTCTAATTAGTCATTCCTTTCACCTGTGTTTCCCCAATTATTCTCGTTGAGTTGTGTATTTATGGTGTGGCTGTCCAGTGCAGAGAGAGACAGAGAGGTACTGCGACATTCACTTATGTCTCTTTTGTACTAACACTGTAGCTACAGGATGTTCACAGTTTGTTTACCAGTTATACAGAAGTATATACACAAATATATTATGAAATGACAAACCTGTCACGCCCTTGGACTGTCTGTGTGTTTGTTTTCCTCTCTATGCGTTCCCAGTTACCTAGTTTCTCCCCTGTCTAATTAGTCCTGTGTTTCCCCAATTATTCTCGTTGAGTTGTGTATTTATGGTGTGGTCTGCCCCGTGGTTTGTGTTCGGTGTCTTACGTCATGTTGTGCTACTCCGTTGGTCCTGTTAGCCCCGTGTTTCCCTCCTGGATGATTAAAGACTCTCGTTTTGTGTTAACTCCTCGTCTCCTCGCTCCTCCAGCAGGCAAATTGTGACAACACCCTTGCCAAAGTTATTTTGAAGTATTTACTTAAATGTTACACAAAATATTTTTATATACTAAAAGTATTTTCATATAATTGTGTCTACTGAAATGTAGTCACTGTATTATTTCATGCAAAAAAATCTAAACCACAAACTAATATTGTGCAAGAAAATTAGCACAAGCACTTTTTTTTTTTCAAATGAAATAATTTGTTTTGACAGCATGTCACAAAGTACATTTTGTGAACTAAATATCATAAAGTAAAAAAGCATAAAAAATGGGGACAGTGCCAACTATGACTGTATTCTGTATATACTATATTCTATTCTATTCTATTCTATTCTATTCTACTATGACACTGATGATGGTGTGATATCGCAAACATTTTGTCTTTGTACTGAGGACTTTTGCGCAATTTGTATGGTCCCTGAATAAGTATTTTTGAAGATTTTTTTCTTTTCTCAAAGGATATTGTGTGCAGGCTTTTATTTTTATTTTCTATAATCTATAGATCTTTTTTAACCAGAATAATGTAATATAGTGCATATAAGTGCACTAGTCAGTGTTTGGCATGATCGTTGACACTGTTGTCATTCAGGCCGCTCATTTTGTGTACAAAATACATATTACATTTATGAAATGAATAATTTGTAGAAAAAAATGCAAAACAACCCATTTTGTGGGTTAATATTCACAAAATTAATACAAAATGCATTTTGTGGTTTAGATTTTTGTACACTAACTGTGATGCCGTTACTGTATGGTAGAAACATGCAATTGGCTTTTGTCTTTCTGTTAACAAAATGCATCAATGTACATTTTGTAATGAAATACAGAATTTCATGTTACAAAATGAGGGCTGTCAAACTTGATGCTCCATGCTAGCGACACATTTAATGTCCTGTTGACTGCAGTAGCAGTTCTCTTAAGTGTGGTCTCATTACTCTTTACTGTAGGCCCAGCTAGTGAAGGACAGACACTCGCTGATAAGAATGGGCAGTCTATACTCAGATGAAGAAGAGGAAACCATTGAAGTATTACCAGAGAAAAACCAGATGACCTGGACTAGTGAAAAAATAGAAGCAGAAAGACGAAACCGAAGCAACGCACCAGAAAACTTCAGAGAACTAATTAGCATTAAACCGTGAGTAGGCAAGCAGGAACAAGAGCTGGAATGCCACCACTGCACTCTATCAACACTGTATTTGGCACAAAGTAGTAGGTTTTACTTTTTATGTTTCTATAATAGACCTATTTGATTTTGATGGTTAGCATAAAGAGGATATGTGTTCCTTGTTGTATTTACATAAGTAAACTATGTTGGTGTGCATGCTTGTGTACTTTCAGTGTGGTATTACCTATAATCCTGAAAGGTCCTAGTTTGTTTTATTTATTTTTAAATTCCACACATTTGCCAAACATATTGATCCACCTTAGTTTAAATCAAAAGTCTGTGTGTTTGTTACAGTGACCAATCTAATGTTCGGCGGATGCACACAGCAGTGAAGCTGAATGAGGTTATTGTTAATAGATCCCATGATGCCAGACTTGTGCTGCTGAACATGCCAGGACCTCCGCGCAACCCAGAGGGAGATGAAAACTGTATCCTTCCCAAAGAATGATATACTTTAAGTACTGTATTAAAGCTTTCTTTTGCTGGTTTGCTTCATTTTTGGTAAGATGTAGATAAATCCAACATGAAAATATGCCTTGTTTGGGCAAAATTCCCTATTATTTATGGTATAAATGTATTGCTACTTCTCATGCTGTTTCTTTAACTCCGATTTCAGATATGGAATTTCTTGAGGTGTTAACTGAGGGTCTAGAGAGAGTGCTGCTTGTAAGAGGTGGAGGTCGTGAGGTCATCACTATCTATTCCTGAATGGCCAAAGATCAATACATAGACCACTGTTACTGTTTGTTACTCTATCTAAAAAAGTGGCATATAAAGAATATGCATACTGAACATCTTATGCCAGCCTAAACATATCATAGTTCATGAAAAGGGGTTTTACACTAAAGTGCACTATTTGATCAATTCATTTCACTTGAAAAACTTAAATGGCACATTTGGCCTGTTTCAGTTGTTTACCTTTTCATTTTCAACCGAACCCCTTCCACATTCACACTATAACATTCAGAATCACTTTGGAATTTATGCCATGTTTTCTACACAAAAAACAGATGATTCTAGCAACAACATTGCTTACGTATGACATTAAGTAGACAATCCCAATTTTAAAATATTTGAGGTTTTGCCACCAGTGATAAATACGAATCGCTGATGTAGCAACATACAATATCAAGCATGCTAATAGTGCAGAAAATATTGTGGCTTGGGTCAGAACCAAGAAAAATATTTCACAAGTTAACAGTAGCTAATTTAGAAGAGAATTATTCCGTATCCTTTTAATATAACAAATTACATGCATAACATTATTTTGTACAGGGCGACTAAATGAAAAACGAGCACATGTGATTATCTTGACTTTCACTGCCCAAGTAACAGATCTAGTGCTTCCTGGTAAAAGACTGCCATTCAGAACGCAAGTGCTAAACTTAAATTTCTATTTGACTGCTTGTATTTTTTATTTATTCTGTCTTTATTTATTTGTAGAAACTCCCCATTGTATTGAAAGTATTAGCTTTAGAAAATAACCAAAGGAGCTGAAATGGGATGGATAGATTTTGTATAACTTTTTTTAAGAGAAAAAAGATTCTTTGTAAATGAACCATTTGTTTTCAAAATCTGCATTTTAGTACACAACTCGCATTGAGAATGAGACATTTTGGATACCGATACAAAGTCTTTATTCTTTTTTAGGGCATGATTACTGTACAGACAATATACATTTGTTATACAAATAGAAGAATATATGGAAGACTGTATTGACTAACATTTATGGAATGTGTTACATCTCTACAGTGTTTTATGTTAAAGATAAAGATTAAACACTTAATGAAACATGCAGTTGACTTTTATGTATAGTATTAAGAAAAAATTATTTTAAAAACTAAAAATATGAAAAAGTTGCAATAAAGTGCACTATGAATTGCAGAACATGTTACATGTATTATATGATCTTATTTTTGCCTCAGAGAAGACAACCTCTAACTGCATACCTTGTGGATTAACAAAAATAAGCTAGAAAAAAAACAGGCGTTATTGCATTGTAAAGTTGATGACAATTTTATTTCCTCCTATAATAAACGAATACAGTATTATCGAAAGACTGTGTCATCTGCATAGAAATACAAGTATACGCTATGGCTCTCTAGTGCTTCCAAAAGATTGATCTTTAAGTTTGAGCAGTTCATCAGAGTTTAAGGTAGAACTACTTATTAGTCTAAACAGCGAGTCAGTGTTTGACAAATGTGTTTGGAAAGTAATAATTTAATAATAATAATACTACAATATTTTTGTATTCAATAAAAATATAACTAATTTTTTAAATATTTCGTATATTTTTTATATCTACTTCTGCAAAAGGGAAATACCAGACAGATCGAAAGAAACAGATGCTTCTTACTGATATGCTAAAGAAGTACAAGATAATGCAACAATGCGGTTTGTTACGTCATTTTGTTATCTCATGTGATCTGTACACTAGCTATGCAGATTAAGAAACCGTTATAAAGTATGGTCTTCATAAACTGTTACCAAACATAACAGTTTCCAAAATAGTCAAAGCACCTAAATGTGTCAGTTTCAGTCAGCAAATTTACTTCAAATGTACTCCTGGTCTTGTTGAGATTTTTGTTGGCCAAGCAGTCTGTGGTAAACATTTATATTGTACACTGTCTCTGGTTGATTAATTGTTTGTTAGATTACTGTAACTGGATCCAAAGTAAAATGAAGTAGATTAAAGCTTTCACAGGCATCAATGGAGCGTTTCCATTTCGATGGCTACTTTTGGGCAAGACTGGATGGATCAGCATCACACGACAGCTGTTGTTTACTTCCGAAAGGGAGATTTCAACTTCACTGGGTGAAATGTGCAGAAAATCATCACGTACCTTAACATATGAAGAGAGAGAAATATTTAACATATATCCAAATGTGCTTTGATCACACTGAGGGAAATACGTTTAATATACAAACTATAAGAATGTGTAACACTTACAAGTATTTCAGTACACAGGTCCTTAAAGTGAATTAAATGAATGTTGATTTAAAAAAATTGTGTTTTGAAATTATATGTATAAATCTATAAAATTATTTATGAAATAATTTAATAAATTATTATTTCTTGCATTGGTTGGGGTCCAAACTGGGTGCAGATACAGTTTGATAAAATCTCATCAGACTGAATGTGCTGAACCAGTGCAGTGACATTTGGATAAGGAGGAATCTTATCATACCTTATCAAGAACAGGATGGTAACGTGTCATATGTATTTATACTACATGTATATCAGGGCTGCCAACTCATTTCAGCTTGGAGTAAGAATTCGTGTGGGGGGTGCGGTGGGCTGTATGGGGTTGTTTTGTTAAAAAAAAAAAAAAAAACTCAAAACCTGTCAACAGAATTTTGTCTGACAGTGGTTGTATAAAATAACTGCTGCAATAGTGCAAAGAATTTACTTTGTTAACACTAGCTTATTTTTATGTAGTCTACAGAGCATATTAGTTACTAACCTAAACTCAAATCACTGACCTGCCTGTTTACACAGTGAAAGATGAGAGGGAGGCTGACTACTCGGCATGCATGGAAATAAACTACAATTAAGTTACGCATTTCCCCCGACTGCTCAGAATTACTCACTGCTGCACGGTGCTGCCTACTCTGTCTCACCAGTCAGCACACTGCAGTGTCCTCTTTGCTCCCTATGTTTTTAGGTGTGTGGCGTGAGAACAGTGCCAAACACATGAGAGTAGGCAGCCCTGATGTAATAGATACACTTTCTCTGTCTGCTTGGTTTAATAAGGTGAGAGAGATTTGAGTGGATGTTTCAATAACAACTGTAATTTAAAAGAAGAGGGTTAGATGAGGGTGGAAGATAGTGGCCGTAATATTATGAGATAAATTAATGGGGATCACTGAGAGCAGGACAAAAGGCAGTAGGAGTTTTTAAAGAAAATAAAAGGAACTGGAAGGAATTTCCATTTGGCTGTAAAGATCACCATTGTAGTGCAAGAAAGGAAGAAACTGAGGAATAAAATGTAAGTATGTGTGTGAGAAAGTTTAGACAATAATTCGGCTATGCACATTAAGTATATGTTTGCTATGTTATGTTTACTAATGTCAATTGCAGTATTTATACTGCCCCTAAAGAGGCCAAGATTTATAAATATCTTAACTGACCTAATTAAACTAGGAACTGAACACACAAATCAATTTCCTGACCTTCTCAACCTTTCGGAACACTCTGAGGAAGTTCAGTCTTAGCACTCCTGCCAGCTCTTCCTCAGTCCAGTTCCTTGATATCAGCTCCTCAATTAGTGCTGGATATTTGGAGACGTCCTCCAGGCCTTTAGGGAATCTGTAATAATACAGGCACGCATAAACACATGCGCACAGACATACAGATAAGGGCCACAAGCATAATCTGCATGCTTTTCTTTGTGATTCTTGGGGATATGAATGTTTCGGAATGGATTTAAATATTGTAAAATGTGTTAACTGGTGCTGAGAGTACTACAATGATATTGGTAGCTAAAAATTATTATTTTTTGTTTAAATTCAGCAGAAATCTACAATGTTTACTGCAGAATTACACAAGCATGGATTCCATGGAGGTACGTTAGCAAAGAAGTGTGCGTGAACAAACTTCTGTAACGTCAATATAGATGAGATGTATTTGAGATTTTTACTTGCCCTTGTGCCCCATCATAGTCTGCTCCAATCCCAATGCTTTTAGCTCCAATCACCCGCTTTATATGATCAAAATGATCTATAGAACCATAAGTTTCAAATTAAAACCAAAAAAAAAAAAAAAAAAAAAAAAAAAAAAAGAAATCTAGTCTTACCAGCCACAATAGACACATTTGCGTTATATGAACATGCTACAAAACTGCTGTAGAAGTTCACCATGATAAGTCCACCATTTTCTTTCTAGAAAGAAAGCAAAGTTTGTTCTTTTCAAAATATCATACATGTCATACTGGTAAAAGTGGACAAAAACACAAAGTGGTAGGTGGCATTTCCATTACTGTCGTTTTTTCAGTGAAATTTTGGAGTATTTTGGAGTTTTTTTATTGAGGGGGAACTATGTCTAATGTAGCAAAACAAATGGAGGTCTCACCAGCAGCAGCAGCAGGTCGTCAGGTACGTTGCGAACATTGTTACAGATAGCATAGGCTGAGGAGTGGCTGAAAATAACTGGAGCAGTAGAATGTTTCAGCACAGCTCTGGCTGTCTCCCACGAGCTATGGGACAGATCAACCAGCATTCCCAACCTGTTCATCTCATTCACCACTGCCTGGGGATTCAAATCATTAATTACCCATGTAAAGCAGTTAGTTCTGATCCATTCAGTTCAATTCTACAAATCAGGGTAGGTAGGGTAAATTTTTAGAACTTTACCCATTTGGATTTTTACTGTGAATTCTCTGAGGTAAGTCACAAATATTCAGTGCCAAAGTGATTTCCACCACAAAACAGGTTCTGATAATAGTCAAGTTATACTTCAAAAACAAAGTAAATGCATCATAATCATGATTTTTTTTTTTTCCATTGAGCACTTTAAGATTTTTTATATTCTGCAGAAGTTTTTCTCATGTACTTGATTCATACAACAATGGGTTCACTGTGTGCAATATTGTAATAATATATGTTATGATAGACATCTTTTATATGTCATTTGTCAGCAATTTTAACACATACACTCAATTCAATGGTAATGATGAACTACTGTGCAAACAGGATATACAAATCACCATCTTGAATATTTTAGTAACTCCAGGATCAAAGGCATTTTTTTAAGCAAAAAGAAAACTGTCTTTGAACTTTCAGTATTTTTTGTCTCTAGTCTTTGGGTTCAAAAGGGGACACAAGACAGGGATTTCCAAATACAGAAGAGAACAAAAGAGGCCTTTAATACCAGGTCAAATTCCCCACTAAATACAACTATAACTTTGGTTCAACTATCTTGCATTAAACTTGATCTTCTTATAAGATCTGTTTTACATCGTTTTATTGACTATTGATTCATCAAGAAAAACGTACCTTTCCAAAATCTGTCAGGCTGTTATTCTTCCGCTGGTAATTTGGGTAAAAACT